TGCCAGTCAGCTGATAATCGAGTTGTCTTAACTCTGGGTTATAAAGGGACTCTAATCACGAAGTGAGTTCTGTTAGCACCAGGTCCGCACTCTGCGATGTGCTATCATCAACGTCAGTAAACAATCAAGATAACCTATAAGTTTTCGTGTCAACGGGGTTAGTTAACCGTGCATGAATTGTGATGTTGAGATTTTTAAAGTTTTAATTATTATTTTGGTGCAAAATGAATGTCTCGGAACGAGCACTGAAAATTATGCGGCTGGCAAATCGTAAGTACCTTCCTGATAGTATTTTATCTGTTCGGCGTGTTCAACTGCAATGCATCAATGGCCAGAATCATAGAGCAATGGAATGGCTTTAATCATGATTCATTACTGCTTTTTTAAATAGTCGCCGTTAAGTTCAATACATTTGTGCTTGACACCAACTTTTGAAATCTGTAAAGTTACCAAGACTGAGTTCCGTCATTTGGATCTGTCAGCCTATAGGGAAGCTCCCTCCAACATTCGAGATACCTACAAAATGTAGCAGTCGATTGAGGACAGAGTTGCTAAGCGCGCTCTTCACAGTCGAGAGATCAGAGCCGTATGTTGACAAAGAATTCAGGGGGTTGTAACTTAACAAATGTCTCAACTGCTCACTTCACTTCATCATTTGAATCGAAATGAATCCCTTTACGCACCTATGTTATGTTTTCAATTCTGGAAATAGGCAGATGTAGTTTCCTGACTATAGAGGGGTCGCACGTTGTCTTGATGCAGGAAAGAATTAATCTATCTGACCTAATTCTCCTAATTCTTTCCTTTAATTTTTGAAGAGTTTCACAGTACGCAGGCAAATAGAGAATTTTGCCTTGCCACGTTGTGAAAATTTGGAGAGCACAACACTCGGGGCATTACTTTTTGAAGAACTCTTGTTCTTCAGCCCGTCCCATTAAGAACCTATCTTTTGTGATAAAGTTAGGCAAAATTAGTGTCAAGGAGGCTCTGTCCATATGATTATGCTGTACTGTAAGGAGTTTGGCAAAGTAAGGTTGTGTATGGATCGAATTTGATAGTGGTTCGATGTATCGTTTGGTTCAAAACTATAGAACTTAACCTCAAACCATAAAGTTAGGATATTTGTCAGAAAAGCTGAAGGTGAGAAATTTCGTAGCAATTTTACTACTATTGGCCAGTTAGTACTGATACGAATAAAAAATCTATCACAAAAAACCCGTTCCGCCAGATTACTCGATTGACTTTTGAGGCTATGTTTATGTTTTGAACTGATTGATATTGATGCAATCTCACCCGTTTGATGTATCAAATACGATCTGTTTTCTTGGTGAAATCTGACTTTCAGACTGCACGTAAGTACTTTTCATGAGTCAATCAATTTTACAAGTCTATTTGTTTGAACTGGAGTCTTGAAAGCAAGCCTTTTCTCTGTGAATTCGTGACAATTGACGTTTTACCACTGAAGTAGTCTAAACATAGGTCTAGTTTGAAATTGTGTTCATCTGAGCGTGGGTGTACTGGGGATACCTTCAAGCAGAGTGGTTTTGGCGATCTGAGGCTCTTTAGCTGGAATGTTTTTTTCTCAAGAGCTAGGTTCATTGAACGTAGGGCCTGATCAGACAGGATCAGATCGTTTCCCTGCACGTCAGATTTGACCTGTATGTGATGACATCATTAGTCGCTTTGAACAGAACTGTCGGATAAGTAATATGTTTTATTAGAATTGCGCAAGCTTATCAGATGATTCAGTGAAGCCTGAAGCTTTGTGTACATTGTGCACAGAGCAGTTGAAACATAGAGGACTACCATGCATAATACTGAAGTATTATTCATTGCAAACTTAGTAGCATCATTTTTTGTTCAGTACCGAGGTATTAATTTGATATTACTAATATTTTACCTCTTAAATATGTTAGCATTAGCATATGTTTAAATTCTTTATCTCTTTACGTTAAAGTGTTCAGAGACGTTAGCAGAAATGTCTATCGTTTTCACATTGTCTCCCTGCTTTCTTTCACGTAAATGTGTACTTTGTGGTGCTTACCTAGGTGTATTGAAGTTGCCATTTTAAGATTGATGTTGGTTTTTGATGAATGGAAGTAAGTCTGTGGAAGTTCATCTATAGTTGTTTATTAAGTGCGCTCTCAAGGATTAATTTCTATTTAATTCCAGCAAATGTCGAGGGAGGTAAATTCAGTCAAGCGAACATCATTTTGGAGTTCAAGGGTGAAAATGAAATAAATAAATCCAGAGTTGAATCAAGACGCAAAAAGGCAGTTCCAAATTTTGATGAGGTGAGATATTTTTTTAGATCCTAACCATAATATAAACAGCTTGAGCAATGTAACTAATTTCATTTTCTATTTGAACCAATTTGTTCTCTCATTATTATAAGCTCACTGTAAAGCAACTGAATCAGCCCAAAACAAAAATACAAAATAAAAGAACTTTAAATGGGGCTAAGATCGCAAAAAAAAAACCAAAAGACTGCGATGTTTCGCGCCTAAACACAACAGCATTAGTACGTAGAGAACGCCCTGCCAAATAGTGGATTGAGAGAATAAAGTAGAAAATGAGGAGATGCGATCTGCCGGAGGAGCTCTGGCAGGATCGCTATCAATGGCGGTTGGGTGTCACAGAGCGCACAGAAGCGCTATAAGAGTGACTTGTTAGTAGCAGTATTATCAACTAGGAAAAAAAGAAAAGAATTAAACAGCAAGAAAAGAAAAGAAAAAGTACCGAGCGTCACCGCTGTCGTTGTGAAGGTAATTGTAATTTAGTTGTGAAACTTCCCCGTCTTGTGTGTTTTTTTTGCGGTCTAAGTCCCATTTTGATTTGTTTCATTTTGAATTAAAGCTTGTTGATGTGTTGCCTTCCTCAAGGACTAAAGATCTACTCGACACTGTTGCAAAGAGAAGAGATAATGGAAGATGTGTTGAAGAAAGAGTCAGCAACTAATGGCAGATGAACTGCTTGAAGATAAAAGTTCGACCTCAACAATACAAAGAGAGAGTTGAGGTATCAATGAACAGCCAGAAAAAGTTTGAAAAACATATTTAGAATCTGCTTTCAGCAACATTTTGAAAGTTTAAACTGAGAGAAATCAAGAATTAATACACAGATCACTTTGATGAAATCATGATTATTCATTGGAACGATAGGTAAATGCCGAACTAAGTTGAGATATTGGGTCAAACTTTAAAAGATCATACTAACTAACTTTTTTTGTTTGTTTTTAGTATATGAAAGAGAATTATGAACCAATAATTTCCTGTGAAACCATGACATCCCTGACGACTCCCGGAAAAATTTTGCAGGATGTTAACGATTACAGCATATTTTCACAGAAAAACCATCAAGCTAACAAACTGTGCAATGTGCCTGTAGGTGAAAGTGATATGGTACGTACTTCTGTTAGACATGGTCTTATCACCTTTTATAGTGATTATAACTAACAAGGAGTGGTCACACCCTGCAGCCCAATTGTTGAAATTTTTTGTGTGTCGGGACAACATAGATGACACAGTTGAAAAGGTGGAGCATGATTGGTCGGCTATGTCTTAATGCTGCTTTATCGTGCCTTTGTCAGGTGGAATGGACGACATACTGTTGGAAACTTAAGAGGTGCCGTTAGCCTGTCGTGAGTTCAACCCGACATAGGCAGGACAAAGCAGCGATAAGACATAGCCGACCAATCACGCTCTGCCTTTTGACCTATGTCATCTATGTCATCGCGACAAACAAAAATTTCAACAATCAGACTGCTGCCCTCAGCCAATTTTGATTGTCAAATGCAACTTCAGTGTGCAACCGTTTCTGTAACTGAGCGTTAATTTCGGAGTTATGAATTTTTGAAAATTGGAAAAAAGGTTTTACCAAGAGCTCACACAGAATTAAGATTTCTTCTGCACAACCCCCAACAAGACAGCTACAGTGTAGGCACCAGACTCAGCTCCCATCTGAGAGGTCCTCCGTTCGAAGCTCACTCGTACTGTTAGTACAAGCAAGTAATGACAATGTTTTCTCTGTTGCTCAGATGACTAATTATATCTCATCATATTTTTTAGAAAGAAAAAAGAATCGTGAAGAAAGAACTTGAAATCAGATGATATTTATAATTATGAAGGTTGAGAAAGTGAAAAGTCACAAATCTGACTTGGTTCTAAAGTGAACAAAGAAAATTAAAAGAAAAAAGTAACAAAAATGCTTTTAGTCTACTGCCATCAACAATTTGACTCAGTCCTTCCTTATTTTTTATTTTACTTTTTTGCTGGGAAAACAAATTATTTTACTTATTCACCAGCTTTGAGATGAATACCAGATCAAATCAGGAAAAATCACTGAAAAGCACTCCAACTTTTCAGAGCAACGGGTGGACTTAAATGTAGCTTGATTGTTCTGTTCATATTTTTCTACTCCCCCAATTCAATTTTCAGTGTCATTTGAAAAGGACAGAAAATTATATTATTTCCAATGATTTCATTGATATTTTCTATTTCTATGTAAAACTCGAAAGAGGTAGGTAAAACTAATCATTCGATCAACCATTAAAAAGAAAGTAATTGTCTCTTGAAAAAATTTGGCATCTGAGAAGGAATGAACGGAGGCTTTATTACACAAGAAGCCAGCCCAGTGCTCATCTTATTAAACTTCCATTGAGCTTCAGCTTAGTGCGCATCCTTTACTTAACTCAAATTTCCAAAAATCCATAACTCTGAAACGAAGACACATTTACATAAATGGTTGCACAGTGAGCACTGTTATTTTTGACACCCTCTTCAACAATCCTGCCAAAGTTGATCAAAATCAACTGAGGGCAGGTTTTGATCTCCTTGTACATGATATAACTGCCAAAAACAACAAAAAGAATTCCAAAAACCGAGTTGTGTTCATCATTCTGATCGGATTCAATACATTTTGTGTCATCGCTAGTCTGTAAAACAATACTAATAGATTACGGCTTAATTTTTCCCCCCAAACCTCTAATTTGAACTCCTGATCTTTAACTCCTTATGGTTTTACTGTGATCTAATTTAATAATTGAATTTGTAGGAGAGGATCCAAGGAAATGAAAAAAATCATTTATCTCCTTCAGAAGAGTCATCATTTTACAAAAACGTAGAGGTATTACTGGTGGAACCTCAAGGAACTCCAGAACAAAAATTGGCACAATGTTTGAAAGAGAGCAGTCTCAGAATTTCTCCCAATGTCAGCAACCCTGCACAGGTAATAAACTTACATTATTTCATCAAAGATTTAACTAATCACTGTTTTGTCAAATTTGATTGATATTTTGATGGTTGCAAGACAAAACTGTGCTGAAAGCATCCTGGGACTCTAATAAATTATGACAGTTCGTAGTAGCCTTCTCCTCTTATTCTTACAATTGCTGGAGTTTTCTGTATAGAATTGCTCAGAGAAAAAAACTTCAGTTACGTAGACTGAACTTGGGTTATGTGTACTGAATTTCAGTTCAT